AAAAAGTCCCAAGACTTCTAGAATCCAGTCCAAAGGGGGTCCAAAGTCACGTTGATTGGGGATGACATGAAGTTTCATTTTGCAAAGAGCCGCACAGCCTGGTCAGGGGTGCCGGGTTAAATACAAAAGCGTTGCTCGTTGACTCAGAAAGGCAGTGCCCTCCAGGAGTTGAATAGTGCGAAGCTATCCACATTTAAGCCTCACTCCTCACATCTTAAGTTGGCGGATTCATAGGCCATGGCCCGCTGAGTAATTGGGGCAAAGCAAAGCATTTCCATAGACATGGGACTGGAAGGCAAACCAGGACTCTTCTCCGTCAGTATGAGGGCCAGGGATACGTCAGAGGGAGGTCGTGCAAAGGTGCATGGCGGCAGTCTGACCATATTTGCCCATTGTTGACGCCCATTCCTGACATCCTGAAATCCTGACTTGGCGCTTCTCATAGACTCCAGTCGGCAGCAACGTGACAGAAGTCCAAGTATCATATTGATGTTGTACAGAGAGGCCGAAAGCAAGCTGGTGAGATACACCACAGGGAGTGGGACCAACGCAATGTATCAGGTGTGCCTATAAACAAGTATTGAAGATGTTTGTTTGGGCAGCTGAACATAAAACAATCAGGCAGCAGTTGCTCAAGATGCTATCAAAGACTGGCTCCAAATCTTGCCAGCCAAGGCGGAGTGTCCCTTGGGCTGTGCGATTGTGCTGTGTCGAAGGTCTCGGGACCACCCAACGTGTGTTCAAATGGCGGGGTGGTTTTGATCACAAGGCTGCGTCTTTCTCTAGGAGACCTCCAAAATGATTGTTTCCCGTTTGGTTTCCTTTTAAACAAAACTAAAATGGTGCCCTCCAAAAGACATCCGCAACTCTGGGTTCCAAGTGGTGCACTGCAAATCAGGAGCTGGGCTATAGCCTTGCCATCATCACCGGCCATCCGGCGGGGGCCAAGGGAGGGGGTTGGCAGTGGTTTGCTCGGAGGCTGGGAGCTGCTTCCATGTTATTCCGCGCAATGGTTTTTTGCGGCATTTGCACCGAATGTGGAAAGATATGCGTTCATTGCATCGGCTGGATGTGTCACCGTGTTTGATGTTTTTGACTTCTCAGCCGCACAACATAGCAACGGAATGGGACAGACAACTCTGCAGCTCGATTCAAGTCTTGACGCGAGCTGTCGTGTCCTTTACGGCTCCTGGTGGAAGCAACGCTACCCTACACCCCACGTATCCTTTTTCCAGTGGGACAATTGCTTGCATAGCCTTCATGGTGCCTCCCCATTCAGTGTCATGTCCAGCCCAGCTGGGGATCAGACTCTTCAATTGCCGCGCCTAGCATGTCGACAAGACCCCTAGTTTCTTGAATGAATCTGCACCATGCATGTGAGTGATAATCATCGGGCCCCGGACTGCACAATTTGTAGAGAATCTTGGCATGTGCTTTCTTTGCCACACATATTGCGTGTGAATACTGACGACTTAGAGCTGTTTGGATGTGGCAGGATGCGATGGATGCGGCTGAGAGATTGGTGAGGCAGGGTGCACGCAAGTTGTTTGCCAGACTTGGCCAAACCTCGCGGTAGGGGTGGGCTTGGGGTCTACTTGCCTAACGAAGGGTGCCATGGTTCGGACCAGGAATTCCTTTGGGCCCTTTTGGCCCTTTTTCTGGTCCCTTCGCCGCGCATGTGCGCCTTCGCCCTCCACCAAACTCAAGCACTCCGTTATCTTCCCGCAGCTTTACTAGCAGCAATTGCTGTACGAGCCCACTGGCTATACGCAGGTTCTGTTTGACATGCGACTGCTAAGTTGCCCTCGCTTTTTTGGGGGTATGGACTTTGGGGTAGGATGTTCTCACGCAGTTGCTTTTGGCCAGGATTCGTTCGTCTCACTCCGGTCTAAAACCAGCTGGTGACCCTTTTGATACTCAGTTTAATTCTTTTTTTTCGGCGCTTTTCCCCTGCAAGGGAGCCGCCCCCCACCGACCCTCCAAACGAAAGCACTTGGGAACTTTCTGGGAGTCCTCCCTTTTGCCTTCACCGGTTCATGGCCCAGAATTTCAGAAGCTGCGTGCATTTCCAGGCAGAAGCTCGGCCTCTCTGGGTCCGGCTTTGCCTCAAAGGAGAGGGCTGAGCGAGCCAGTGAACAACCGAACAGCCATTGAACAACCGAACAGCATGTGATATTGAATACTTTGAAGCCAGCGCAAGGAATCTAGCTTTCTCTAAAGGCAAGCAGTTGCCCCTGTTGCAAGCCTGCTCTCAAATCCCACCGCTACATCGCAAGTCATTGTTGAGAGTGTCTCTTTTGGCCTTGCCCCTGCGGGCCAGCCGAACATGCCGTGACGTGTGTGTGTGTGTGTATATCTAGGCTGGGTTGCTGTTGGTGAATTGCAAGGTTCCATGGCAATCAGGAGTTTACATGCGGCCAGAGGCGACTCAGTTCAGTTTTGCTTTGGATAGGCTCCGATCCCACTTTACTGGCCAGCAGCCAGCGTGGTGAGACCTTGCGGAGTAACATATATGAAACTTCGCATGCAGGAGCTCTCAGTCCAGTCTGAGCATGTGGCCCACATCATGGGCCCCAAGGCGGGTGTGACGGATTTGATTGTTTTTGATGTGATTCTTGTGCGCGACTGCGCCGATCTTTGGCCGCCTGTTGAGTGGAATGAATGGGCCTTGCACTTCTTTTCGTATCACCTCAGTCCACGACCAAGTGAAGGTTGGCCTGTAACATTGAGTTCCAAAGCGAAATGTGACTCTTGGATGAATACTGAGGCTTGTAAAGGGGCTGTGTGATGTATATTTGAAGCGCCTTCGAGTCAACAAATTCTATTATCTGAGCATGCAATGTTTACGCACCTTGCGTTGCACTTGGTCTGCCACTTATGTCTGCCACTTATGTCTGCCATTTGCGACGTGAGCACCTCGCGGCTGTGACACCTCAGGGCAGCACCTTGGCGCGGATCCGACAACAGGCGGGCAACCTCGCGGCCTGGGGCCTGGCGGTCCTTCCCCGAAAGTCCTTGAAGCAATGACTTCCTTCGATGTCCAATTGGAAGGGATGCTGTCAAGCCTTGCTCCTGCAGCCGTTGGAGAGAGTGAGCGTTGGAGCGAGAGAGAGAGAGAGAAAGACAGCAGGGTTGGGGCTCATGAGGCAAGCAGCAGCACATATTCTGCAAGCTGCGCTGGAGAACGGGACAATCCCAAACAGAAATCGGCACGGCCGCGTTTTTGGTTCTTTACACAGTGTTGGGTGCCAGGTTTTGCTGTGACTCGCACGAGCCCATGGAACTTGCGCTCAGCATTGCACGGCCGCGCCCAGATTGAGCTGAGACCTCCCGATCTTCCTGGTCAGCCGTGCAGCACCCAGTCCAAGGGATCCTCGTGTTCAAGCCTGCAGATTTTGAACAGGGCATGGCTTTCAATCGGCGAAAGCCATGCTTGGCTCTCCAAAATCAAAAGTCCCTGATGCCGGGGAAGCCACGCATTCCAGCGTTTGTGTGTGTGTGTGTGCATGTGTTGCAATACTTGTATGTAGCATAGAAACACATCTCTCTCTCTCTCTCTCTCGCTCTCTCTCTCTCTCTCTTTGTCTGTCTGCCTCTCTCTCTCTCTCTGTGCGTGAAGTGTATGTGTTGCAATACATGCACCATAGACAAACATGTGTGCGTTTAGTTTGTGTGTGGCGTCAAGTCATCGTGACTTATGAACGTTCAAGCAGCAGGAATTGCGCTGCATCTTCAGGCATATGGCCATGCTTGGCCCTGGCAGCCAGGAGCTGCTGCGGTTCTTCTAGTGACACTGCAGCGACGATTCTCACGACCAAGCTGTGGTCGTAGCGGTTGATGGCCTGGTGGGTTTGCTGCTTGCTCGTAGTCCAGAAAGAGAGGCAAGTCAACCTTCTTCGGGGGAGGCATGATGTCTGAAGTGCAGATGTTGTCACAACACACTCATCATGCTACTGGGAATGGGCCCGAGGGGTTCTCAGAGCTTTTCAGCCGTGCCTGGCCAAACCCTACCAAAAAGATCACCAAGTTCTTGCTGTGGACGCAGCATGTTGAACAGCCCGCCAACGGATGCCAGATGGTTTCGCTGGCTTCTGTGGGTTGCGCTTTCAGGAGCAGCTCATGGTGGCGGAGCAGCTCCTTATGGCCACCTTGGCGGAGGCGCGAGATGGGTCCCAGAAGCGGTTGGCCAGCGTGCCTTGCATTCGAATGCTGCCGATCTTGAAGGTTTGGCTTGGGGCGGGGGAGCGATCAAAAGGGAGAGAGAGAGAGAGAGAGAGCGAGAGGGAGAGAGGCGAGTGAAAGAGTTAGAGGAAATATCACACGGCATGGGGCGCCTGCTTGAGGACGGGCTTTGCTGAAGAGCGCCGTCATTGAATGAACGATGGCATTACATGAGGACCTCAACCCTTCTTACCTTCAAGTTTGAACTGTCATCCGCCTGCACCGAACAATCGGCCACACGAACAGTTGGCCCAAATTTCACTCGTCCCAAGGTGAAGAGGCGCAGTGCAAGAAGTTAGGTTTCAGGCTCTCACTAGAAGTTCGGTCCAAGCATTGTGTGCTGGTGTCATTTTGCTGCTGTCAGGCCGCTGTTGCTACGGCCATTGCAAACCGATGACGTGGAGGCGGGCCCAGTGGGGTTGCTGCCTGACGCTGGAAGCTTCTCAAGGTTGTGGGTCTTGCGGGCACATTCGGTGTGTAGCTCTCCATCTATCTTCTTTCCTGCAAAATGCGGCGAAGGCCTCATGAGCAGTTAACAGGCCAGCTTTGCAGGCCTAAGACCCGCATAGATGTGCAAAGATCGAGAAACAAACGTCACCCTCCATCAAAAGTAGTCCCTACAATCTTTCCCACACCTCCACTTCCCACACCGGCGTGCATGTTTTGTACCATCGGAGCATTTTGGCTGGGTGAGTGCGACTCTTTGTCCCAGTCCTCCGAGCAAAGGAGCAAATTCTGTGCTCTTCACTTCCATGGCGGACCTGAAATTGTCGCGCACGGACAAGCCGGAGCGGAAGTGGTTCGAGAACCCCTTCACTTGGTGGCAAGGCACGAGCCTGGCCTGGAACACGAAGATCCCGGTCTGGACGGGCTCGGGTGAGGCGGAGGGCTTGTCCGAGCTCTTCGTGGACAACTTGGGGTCCTTGCTGGGCACTACGGGCGCAGCAGTGGGCCACATCGGCTATGGCATCGTTGGCACGATGGCCGCCTTCACCGCTGTTGCCATGACCGATGGTACCACCTACGCCACAGCCGTGGCCCAGGAATGGGAGAAGGTGTACTTCTCGCGAAACATCCCTGGCTGTGCCTTCGCTTTGCTTTTGGGCAACCTCTACTACGCTTGGCAGTGTGGCCGCTTGGGCAACAAAGAAGAGCGAACCGACGTCACCGCCCAACCCTATGGCATCAACACCACGGGCGTCTACATCACCCTCTATGCTATCAATTTGGAAGCTCTGATCTCTGCAGGTTTCCTGAACCTCCCGAGCGCTGGTGCCACGGACGCCGACATCCGCACGGCCGCGGTCAATGCCGCAGACCACGCCTGGAAGGTTTCTGTGGCCGCCAACTTCCTGTTGGGCATTTTCGAAATGCTCGGAGCTTTCTTTGGGGAGTCCATCCGCAAGGCGGCACCTGCGGCTGCGTTCTACGCACCTATGGTGGGTGTGGGTTTCGTGTACCTTGGCTTTGTGCCGATGCTGAACATTGCTGCGGAGCCCATGGTCTGCCTGATCCCGCTCCTTATCGTTTTTAACGGCTTCTTCGGTGGGGTCCGGTACCACATCTTCAGGAAGCTGACCTTCCCCATTGGCCTGCTCGCGATCCTGGCCGCTGCCATTGCTGGATGGTCCGGTGGTTGTGCCCGTGAGGCCGGCACGCTTGGCGCCACGAAATATGGATACACCCTGCAGTACTTTGACTCCACAAGGGTCACTTGCACGGGCACTTCGCAGGCCGAAGCCCAGCGCGCATGGGACACCTACGCTTTCCAGGACAACGTGCTTTCAGGTGCGATTTTTGTAGGCCTGGGTGGGTTCTCTGAGATTGGCAGCTTCATCACCACGCTCTTCTTGGTGGGTGTGGTGGGCTTCGTGGGGACCATGAGCTGCGTCGAGAGCGCCTCCGCAGCAGGCGACGACTACCCCATGGCAGAGACAATGATTGTGGATGGCTTGGGCACCTGCATTGGCGCACTCTGTGGATCCTTCTACTCCACCACGGTGTACATCGGACATCCCATCCACAAGTCCCTCGGCGCAAGGCGTGGCTACAGCCTCTTCAACGGCATCCTCTACTTCATTCTTCTTCTCAGCGGCGTTTTCGCTGCGCTGTACCAGTCCCTGCCTGAATGTGCCAGCGGCGCGATCCTGGTCTTTGTTGGGTTGATCTTGGGCCGCCAGGCATTCGAAGAGACGCCACCGCGTCACTACCCCGCCCTGCTGCTCAGCCTTTTCCCCTACCTCTGCAATTGGGCCAAGCTGGGCAACACCAACGAGGGCATCCAGATGATGGGCCAGGGCGGCGGCATGATGTTCAGCGTGGTGCTCACTTGGCTCTTCTGTCTTTGCATCGACCGGGACTTCAAAAAGGCTGCCGTGCTCTCCTTCGCTGCCATCTGGCTCTCCCTCTTCGGCTTCTTTGCCAGCCACAATGCGGCTAACGACACCGTTCCCCCGACAAAGGGCAACGAGAAGATCGGCTTCTATGGCAAGGAGGACCACGAGTACAACAACGGATGGCGCTGGGCAATCTCCTGGACTGTGGCAACCTTGTTCTTCGCTGCACATGTTAGCATGCAGAAGATTGGGTTGGTTCAGGGCCCACTTGAACCCAAGTTTTCGGCAGTGGTCCCGTTTGTTGAAAAATCGTGAGCAGAGCAACTTCTGCCTCGATGGTGGCAACACCTTTGCCAAGGATGCGGAGACCAAGGCTGGCGTCGACAGGCGCTTTTCCAACCGACATGTAATTCTTGTAATTGCTTGCATTGCAGGCGCAGCCTGGCACGCAGTTTGGCGTGCAACACCCCGGTGGAGCCGGATCATCAGAGAGCATTTTCCAGCCCTGTATCCACACTCTTCAGAGAGTGCTGGAACAAGGTTATGTCTTCCCATGCTCTCAGAAAGTTTCTGCAGGTTGCCTGCCAAGCAGGTACTTGATATCGTTTCATCACAGCCAGTTCCAGAGGAAATCCAAAGAATCGGGGAGTCAAGCGATGGAGCAAGTTGACGAAGTTTGGCCGTAGTTGTCGCCGATTCCGAGGTTGGTTGATGAGCGTCATTGAATTGACATGGCTGCCTTTGTTTAGGTTGAGAAACGTGGGGGGTGTATGTTCAATTGTGCCATTGGGCTGCTGCAGTTGAGGCCTTATTCAGAGAGGTGTAAATGCAAAACTGTGGCATCGCCGGTTTCCCAAACCACCCTTTCATCTCATCGCCATCAACAAACAGCTTCAAGCAATGGCAGGTTCAATAAAAGATGGCTACTTCAACTGAGACGGCTCGTGCAATAAGCCATGCAGACTGAATCAATGCAGCGCCTTCTAGCTATCCAGGCAATATCAAAATGACACTATACTTCAGTTAGGCAAAAGTTGATGCTGCTTAGGCAAAACATTATGCCATGACTTTTTGTATTTGTTGGGCTTTGTTTTTGTTTATTTTGCCTTTGCTTGGTGTTGGTCATCTTGCGGTCATGCCATAAACCAAAAAAACAAGACCCATGACCTCTTGTATCTGTTGGAGTTACTTTTCTGTTTTTTGCTTGTGTGTTTCCTTTGTGTTTTCCACTGTGTGCAACCCCCCTCTGTGCAACAACCCAAGATACGTTTCTCTGCAAGCAGGACAAAGTTCTCATTAAATTCCAGCTAGACTCGTAATTATTTGGAAAGGACATCCTATTTAGGATTGGACGGAATTCCTGTCTAAGATTTCCTTCCCAAACCAAACTATAACTAAATCTCAATTGGACTCATATTTGAATAGAGTCCTATGTAGCATCCAAATCGAATTCAAGGTTCTCATTAATTTCTAATGGACACTCTACTTGGAATGACAGTGCTAATTAGAATATATTTCTGAACCGTGAATTGAATTCTAGTCTAAATCCCAAAAGAAATGTAAACCCTCGTAATGTAGAACTTGCAAACCAATTGCAATGGAATCCACATTTTCCATGTTTTTTTACTGTACTCTTTTTTCAAGGGGCTTGCAAATTAGAAGCAACAACAAGCTTCTCTTTCCTTGTAGAGTCTATTTAAAACTCAATTAAAGTCCTACTTGGAACGGAACACTTTTTTAAACTCTAATTCAACGTATTTTTTCCCAAACAGTTTACCGTTCTAAAAAGAACGGGCAGCATGCTGCCAGATCGGCGATCCGGATGTCGCTGTCAATTTCGTGATTCGGGATTTAATCACATTTCGGGATTAAATCACATTTTCGGGATTCGGGATTCGGGATTCGGGACTCGAATCACATTTTCGGGATTCGGGGTTCGGCATTCGGGATTCGGGACTCGAATCAGATTTTTTGGGATCGGGATTTGGGATTTGGGATTTGGGATTTGGGATTTGGGACTCGAATCACATTTTCGGGATTTTGGATTCGGGAGTCGGGATTCGGGACTCATCGCATTTTCGGGATTCGGAATTCGGGGTTCGGCATTCGGGATTCGGGGCTCGAATCACATTTTCGGGATTTAGGATTCGGGATTCGGGACTCGAATCACATTTTCGGGATTCGGGGTTCGGCATTCGGGATTCGGGACTCGAATCAGATTTTTTGGGATCGGGATTTGGGATTTGGGATTTGGGATTTGGGATTTGGGACTCGAATCACATTTTCGGGATTTTGGATTCGGGAGTCGGGATTCGGGACTCATCGCATTTTCGGGATTCGGAATTCGGGGTTCGGCATTCGGGATTCGGGGCTCGAATCACATTTTCGGGATTTAGGATTCGGGATTCGGGACTCGAATCACATTTTCGGGATTCGGGGTTCGGCATTCGGGATTCGGGACTCGAATCAGATTTTTTGGGATCGGGATTTGGGATTTGGGATTTGGGACTCGAATCACATTTTCGGGATTTTGGATTCGGGATTCGGGATTCGGGACTCATCGCATTTGCGGGATTCGGAATTCGGGGTTCGACATTCGGGATTCGGGGCTCGAATCACATTTTTGGGATTTAGGATTCGGGATTCGGGACTCGAATCACATTTTCGTTCAGGATTCGGGATTCAGGATTCGGGACTGGGAAAGCCCCATCGATTCGGGATTCGAGATTCGGGATTCGCGCGCGAATCACATTCTGCACCAGCTTCTCCGGATCATGTCTCGCCGAGCCGCATGCCCGTAAGCGTGCGCATTTACTTGTCTCCCAGTATGCGCCTTCATTTGTCTCCCAGTGCTGCCAGATCGCCGGGCCGCATACTCGCCAGTGTGCGCATTTGCTTGTCTCCCAGCACGTGCCTTCATTTGTCTCTCCGTGCTGCCAGATCGCCGGGCCTCATGCTTGCCAGTGTGATGTTTCTCGTGGGTGCATAAGCGTGTTCACCGTCGGCGCATAAAACAGTTTCACTGTTGGCGCATAAGCGTGCTCGCAAGAGTGTTCCTTGCTGGCGCACAAGTGTGTTCACTGTCGGCGCAAAAGTGTTCCTCGTTGACGCATCAGCGCGTTCGCCGTCGGCGCATGTCGGCGCGTAAGTGTGTTCACTGTGGGCGCGCGCGCAAGTGTTCCTTGCTGGTGCACAAGCGTGTCCACCGTCGGGTTCCCCGTTGGCGCGCGAGAGTGCTCCTCGCACAATCTGTTTGGGGTCTACTCTGGAGCAACTTGTAGTTGAAATTAAAGTTAGTATGGTTTCAAGTTAAAGCGTTACAATCTAAAGCTTGTAAACCAAAAAAGCTAAAATTGCATCTTCCTTGAGTTTCTACTAATTTGCAAATTAAAAGAAACGACCAGCTTGTCTTTTCCATAAAGGCTTCTGTTCGATCTCTAATTCAATTTTAAAGCCAAGAAGTGTAACAGGAATAAAAAGAAAGATGCTAACAGAACTGTACAGCAGCAGGCATCCAACTACTGTATAAAGGCTCTGGGTTCTGCTTGAAACGTAACCATTTGTCACATTTAACTGTTTTCATGCAGCGGATGCGTTTCAAAACAGTACGTTGCTTCTCCTCTATCTATTGCATTTGCTCAAATTCACTCTCTGTTGTCACCACAAATGCCGGTTTGTGTTTGAAGAAACGTGTGGGGGACAGCACATCGCTTTGTTCCGACGGCAAAGCACATAGCTTGGTTTCGATGGCAAGCAAGTGCAACCCTGCCAGGTCAGGCCCGCAGGGAGGGGCGTTTCACCTCAGCGTCGGCCGTGGCATTGGGGCCCAGGGGCCGAGTCCGGAGGCCTGGGCCTTCAACATGTGGATAGGTTCCGTGTGCCCTCAAGAATTTGAGCTCAGAACTAGCAAAAGTCAGTGAAAGAGTCTTGCTAGCCTTGGCCTCGCATCTCCAATTTGTTCATTCGATGCTTGTGCACACCTGGCTGCTTCTTCTTTTTCAATGTGAAGAGTCCCACTTCCTTTGTAACTTTTTGGGAGCCTTTGGGGCGTGACCTGCGGACGCTGAGCCGGCGCCCCGAGCCGCGCGGTGCTCTGGGGAGTGGCGCCCTCGCTGAGCTGGGACCCCGGCAAAGAGCAGACCTGTTTGCAGCCTTGTTGCCCCCACATTGACACACAACTTAACAAAAAGTCACCCAACTCCGGTGTCAATCTGCAGAGGAGTATTTTCTTGGGAAAGGGATGGAAGGAAAGTGTTGGTTTGTTGGCGGGCCAAAGTGCATGTTTTCATGCTGGCATGTACCTCGTGGATTCAAGCCCAAACTTGCCATTGCGCGCACCAAGCACCCACCCCCCAGTCCTAGGTAACTTCTCACCCCAACTCGCAGGGCGCAGAGGGGGCGTGATGGCGTGACATTGCGCCTGGCCTGGGTTGCTGCGTCGAGTTCGATCATCTCGACGGGGACGGCTGGCCAACTCTTACCCCCAAACAAAAGCCTCATGGGGACCTTGGTTGGCCGAGCGTCCCTGTTATTGCCTATCCGCGTCAAGAAAGAGCGCCGTCAGACAGGCAGCAGCTACTACTTGCGGGGTACTGGTCCCCACGAATGTTTCCTTTGATGGCTTATATTGCATTGGTATAGCGTCGGGGACGGTGCAACTAGGTGGGGTCAAGTGTGGGGAGGGGGTCATGCAACACAGCGAAGGCAGATCACGGCAAACCTCGGCTGGAACAATATGTCTCAGCCTTGGTTTCCGCCATTTTGACCCGTTCATTCCAGACTGGAATTTGGGTCAAGACAGTAGGGGAGGAGCCGACTTCCAGGTGTGCAACAATGAACAGACTGATCCTTGGACAGTTTGGCGTGCTTCTGGCAGGAACTTGCCACATGCCAGCAGGAAGCCGAACCCAGTGTTGACCTTGGCAAGTGCTTGCGCAGCACAAGCAAGTGCAAGCCAATGATGCATTCCCAGAAATTCAACAACCTTGCCTGGTGCATGACATGTTGCGATGCAATAGTGCAGCTGACGAAGAGCGTGGTCTCTTTGGGCAAGCAGAATGCATGGCAACAGGCAACTTGGCAGATTTGCAACAGCTGCAGGCCAAAATTAGGGCATTTACACAGATTGGTTGATTGCAGAATTGTCATAGTAGCCTCAGCCCATGATTGGAAGGAGGATCCGACAAGTGTTCACCATGTTCCTTTAGCATTGTTTGGACACAGGCACGGCAATTTGTTGCATGTCTTTTGTCCCAGAGTCTCCCAGTTATCGGATGGCGTGAAGATCCGTGCGGGCGAAATCAAGCGGCATGGCTTCTGAGCGAATGGATGAGCCGTTCGTCTGCTCCATGCCAGGCACTTGGAGCTTTCGCAGAGGCAGAGGATGCAGGCGATGCGGATCATGCGACTTTCAACTCGACAGAGTTGCATGTTGCGCATCCAGGATGATGGCACTCGGACACTTGACTTCCTTCTGGTGGAAGTTTGCTGCAGCAAGTTCGTCCTTGTTTCTTCAACGGTTTCATAGGCTCATGGCTCAAGGGTCAAGGTGAAACCGTGAACGGTCCAAGAGCCCAGGCGAGGGGAAGGCGCAAGGTGAAGGCTTAAGCGTTCGGAGAGCACCCTTCACTGGTACTAGATGCAGGTAAGGTAACGTTAAACCA